ACAATGAAGGAAAACAGAATGGTACTACCTAGAAAGCAGAGAACTAGGAAACAGGAACCAGAAAACTAGAAATAGGAACTCATAAATGGGGCATTGAGGAAGATACTGTAAAATGCTGATAGTAAAAGAAAAAATAGGATGCTCACTTTCTCCTCTCTTTAAGATCATCAGATTATAAAGTTTGAAACTCATAAATAATCTTTTACAACTTAAATTAGCTGAAGATTACTTGGTATAATATAGGTACTGAAATGGTGTGATATTGAAGGCAGATTTATATTGTTGGTATAAAATACCTCCAAGTTGCAGAAGCATAAAATACCTATAAATTATAATTACTCCATGTGTTTTCCTCTGCAGTGGTTTGTAGTCCCGGGACTTTTAGTCCTGATGTTGATGTGACTTGTCAGACCTGCATTTCCGTCTTCATCTACGGAGCTAAATCTTGCCCATAAACTTCAAACAAAAATCGGCAATATGAAGACTAGAGGTGAAAGCATTGTCACTTACTTGTGGAAGTGGGGGACATAAGATGATTTGTTCACATCCCAGAGCATCACAGGTAGTTCCATTAAGTAAAATCAGTAAGACCAAACCACTGGAAAACATGCATTTTAGAAACTTTAAAAAAAATGGTTAACTTGGCATTTCTAAGAAGGCATTTAATCCAGTATCTCCAATATACAAAGGAAAGTTGAAGTATTAATGGATTATTTTTAATGAAATGTTTTATTGTTTACAAACAATATGTTGCTCTGTACCTGAGAGTATAGTAAGGTCAAGAAAGGGAGCAAAGTATAATAAAATAAAAATTTTATACTTTCTATATATTTGTTTGGAATCACTCTTGTGTGATATAAAGGCATGTATATTATCTTTGTATTAGAACCAAAAAAGTTATTGATTTTGGTCCCTTTGATTTTATTTTTTAAGATAATTAATAGACTGTATTTTTTTAAGTATAGGTTTAGGTTTACAGAATAATTGAGTAGATAATACATAGAGTTCCATATACCCACCACACCCCATACCCTTATTCCTCCTCACACAATTCTTCCTATTATTAAGATCTTGCATCAGTGTGGCACATTTGTTACAAATGATGAACCAATATTGATTTATTATTAACTGTAGTCCATAGTTCATTCTCTGTGTTATAAGGTTATGTGGGTTTTGACAAATTCATGGTGGCATGTGTGCACCGTTGCAGTTTCATACAGAATAGTTTCTCCACCCTAAAAATCCTCTGTGCTTCACTTATTTATCCCACCCCCACACACCTCCCCCCCGCCCCCACCCAGCCCCGAGCCCTGGCAACCACTGATCTTTTTACTGTCTCTACAGTTTTGCCTTTTCCAAAATGTCATGTAGTTGGTTGGAATAATACAGTATGTAGACTTTTTGGACTGACTTCTTTTCACATAGCAGTAAGTGGAACTCTTAATGCATTTAAGATTCCTCCATGTCTTTTTGTGACTTGCTAGCTCATTTTTTGTTGCTGAATAATGATTACTGTATGGATATAGCATAGTGTGTTTATCCATTCACCCATTAAAGGAAATCTTGGTTGCTCCCAGTTTTTGGTGATTAAGAATAAAGCCGCTATAAACATTTGTGTGCAGGTTTTTGTGTGAACATAAGTTTTCAACCCAATTGTGTAAATAACCTAGGAGTGTGAGTGCCAGAGTGTGACTACGTGTAGTTTTATAAGAAACTGCCATACTGTCTCCCAAAGTGGCTTACCATTTTGCATTCCCACCAGCAATGAAAAAATATTCCTGTTATCCTTATCCTCCCCAGCATTTGGTATTGGCAGGTGTTTTAAATTTTGGCCATTCTAATAGGTGTATGGTGGTGATATTTTATTGTTTTAATTTACGATTCTGTAATGACATCTGATGTTGAACATCTTTTCATATGGTTGTTTGCCATCTATGTATCTTTTTGGTGAGGTGTCTGTTCAGATCCTTTGCCCATTATTTAATTGGGTTATTTATTCACTTATTATTGAATTCTAAGAGTTCTTTGTATATATAAATAATTAATATTTTTGAAATGTTAAATTTTAAATTGTTACTTTTAATGAAAAGTATAAATTGTATATCTAGATTCTTTTTTGCACATTTCCTGTCTCAGCCTCCTGAGTAGCTGGGACTACAGGTGCACACCACCATGCCTGGCTAATTTTTGTATTTTTAGTAGAGATGGGGGTTTCACCATGTTGGTCAGGTGGGTCTCGAACTCCTGATATTGTGATCTGCCCGCCTCTGCCTCCCAAAGTGCCAGGATTACAGGTATGAGCCAATGCACTTAGCTGCTTTGCAAATTTCTTTACCCATATATTTTTTTAAATTTTCTGTCAACACGTGAAGATTTAATTTTTTTTTTTTTTTTTTTGAGACGAAGTTTCGCTCTTGTTACCCAGGCTGGAGTGCAATGGTGCGATCTCGGCTCACCGCAATCTCTGCCTCCTGGGTTCAGGCAATTCTCCTGCCTCAGCCTCCCGAGTAGCTGGGACTACAGGCATGCGCCACCATGCCCAGCTAATTTTTTGTATCTTTAGTAGAGATGGGGTTTCACCATGTTGACCAGGATGGTTTTGATCTCTTGACCTCGTGATCCACTTGCCTCGGCCTCCCAAAGTGCTGGGATTACAGGCTTGAGCCACCGCGCCCGGCCCAAAGATTTAATTTCATTCCTCCTCTATTCCACTACATTAATATGGCAATATGTATTATTTTCCATCTATTAACAGTGTATATATGCATCAGTCAGGGTCCAATATAAGTAATTACTAAATATAACATGGGACTGGAATAATGAGGAATTGGCTAGTAAAATGTAAAGGAAACTCTAAATATTTATATATACATTATATATATAATGTGTGTGTATATGTGTATATATATATATACACATATACACACACACACATATATATGTATATATATAGTTTTTGAGACAGAGTTCCACTCTTGTCCAGACTGGAGTGCAATGGCACGGTCTCAGTTCACCACAACCTCCACCTCTGGGGTACAAACAATTCTCCTGCCTCCCAAGTAGCTGGGATTATAGGCATACACTACCACACTGGCTAATTTTGTACTTTTAGTAGAGACAGGGTTTCTCCATCTTGGTCAGGCTGGTCTTGAACTGCCTACCTCAAGTGATCCACCCACCTTGGACTCCCAAAGTGTTGGGATTATAGGCATGAGTCAATGTGCCCACCTAATAACGGAATAGCAGATATATATATATATATATCTGCTATTCCTCTCTCTTCTCTCTCTCTATATATATATATTTAAAGGCACTACCACTAGGACTATATATATATATATATATATATACTCATACACACATATATATGTGCATATATATAATATATATTTATATATATACACATATATATGTATGTGTGTATATATATATATATACACATATATATGTGTGTGTATATATATATATATATACTTTTTTTTTTTAAGGCACTACCACTAGGACTGAGAATGTCTAAGAAAAATTCACCATCCCCTAGGGCTGAGGTCCAGCTTGTTGAAGTGGCATGACCATGGGTCACCAGATGAAAGAAAAGTCACTGTAGTGCTAAAAATTCACTCTCTAGATCCCAGAGACCCACCCTCTAGGGTGGCAGGAAAAGCTGTACATGGGGAATTTTCTCACTAGAGACACTCTGCTATAAAACCATAGAAGCAGGCCAGGTGTAGTGGTCACATCTGTAATCCTAGCACTTAGGGAGGCCAAAGTGGGCAGATCACTTGAGGTCAGGAGTTCAAGACCAGCCTGACCAATATGGAGAAACCAATATTGCCAACATGGTGAAACCCAGTCTCTACTAAAAATACAAAAATTAGCTTGGTGTGGTGGTGGGTGCCTATAATCCCAGCTACTTGGGAGGTGGAGATGGCAGTGAGCCAAGATTGCACCACTGCACACCAGCTGGATGACAGACTGAGACATCATCTCTAAATAAATAATACATAGATCCACAGAAGGAGGAGACATTGTCAACAAAGCGGCTGGCCACCAGGCACTGCAGGGTATGGACAATGAAGAAGTTGAACTTGCCATATGCAACTTGCTGTACACATTTGAACTCTTGTGCATGGATGAAATAAATTTTTTTTGAGACAAGGTCTCTCTGTCACTTAGGCTTAAGGGCAGTGGCATGATCACAGCTCACTGCAGGCTTTGAACTCCTGGGCTCAAGTGATCCTCCTGCCTCAGCCTCCCAAGTATCTGGAACTACAGCCATATGTCACCACTCTCAGCTAATTTTTAAAATATTTTTTGGAGACAAGGTCTCTCTCTATAGTTCAGGCTGATCTCAAACTCCTGGGCTCAAGTGATCCTCCTGCCTCAGCCTCTGAAAATGCTGGAATTACAGGCATAAGCCACCTCACCTGGTCACAATTTTATATTCTAAGAAATACATCTATCCATCTTTAAAGTACTTGCTGTTTTCCCAAAATGTAAAGATATGTAATGTCAACAGTCATTGTTTCTATTGCTGGCTATGTTAATTACTTCTCAAATTCAGTCACAGTGCCACTGAGTATTCTTACCTAAAGACTAAACTGTAAAATTAACTTCCAACGATTTAAGAAGAAAGAAGAAGGATAGCATATTAAAATAAAGGTATTGGCTGGGCCCACTGGCTCACACCTGTAATCCCAGCACTTTGGGAGGCTGAGGCTGGCGGATCACCTGAGGTCAGGAGTTAGAGATCAGCCCAGTCAATGTGGTGAAACCCCGTCTCTACTAATACAAAAATTGGCCACGTGTGGTGGTGCATGCCTGTAATCCCAGCTACTCAGGAGGCTGAGGCAGAAAAATCATTTGAGCCCAGGAGGCAGAGGTTGCAGTGTGCCAAGAGCGTGCCACAGCGCTCCAGCCTGGTCGACAGAGCAAGACTTCATCTCGAAATAAACAAGTAAATAAATAAATAAATAAAGGTGTGAATACAACAAGCAAAGAGAAAATATGCAAAGCTACTTTATTTCTGTAATTGATCATTAAGGTTGTAGTTTATACGTATGGCTTCCTTCTGCAGGAAGCCAATTCCGTATTATTCTTCCCCTCAGCCAGAACTTCAGCTGCTGTGGATTCTTTATCTGGTGGAATGACTGAAATTATTGCCAAAGTCAATCTTTGTTGTTCTTACCCCTTCTCCTCCCCGCACCTGTTTTTTGGTTTCATGTAGTTTTCCATTAACTATCAGACATAGAAGAACTAGAGGCACCCCAGAGAATCTGGGTTCCAGACATAGTCCTTTCCACCTTGTGTAGCAATTCAGTTTCCCTGTGGTCATCAGGATCATTCTCTCCAGCCAGCAGATTAACTGTCCTCCCCACCTCATCTCCTTTTGCCCATGCTTAGTTCAACAGCATATGGAACCCAAAACGTCCAGGTGACAGTCTCCTCTTCCAAACGGGAAGAACCATTGTGGTGTCTCCTTGTGGAAGCATCCCCCTCTGGGGGACAAAGATCTCAAAACCAGCAGAGCTCAGAGTTGCCAGGATAGGAAGCAAAGTTTCTGCAAGTGGGTGATTGGGTGTAACAGTGAGAGGATCCACTCCCACATCCACCCTTTGATTCCTGGACTATCCTGGCTATGAGGGAGACAGCACTATATCGTGGCCTCTGATTCAAAACAGAAACTGCATCCTGTAAAGCAGAACCCATTCCTTTCAGGGTGCTGTCTCCCAACGGACACTGTAACAGATTTTAGTGAGCCATTTCACCTTTCCATTAGGCCAGGTGCTTCTAGGTGATGGGGAGTGGAGTAAGACCAGCGATTTCCACGGCCATGAGCCCACCGCTTCACTTCCTTTGCAGTGAAGTGAGTTCCCTGATCAGACACAATGCAGTGTGGAATGCCAAGATGGAGGATGAGGCATTCTGTGAGCCCATGGGTGGCAGCACTGGCTGAAGCATTACGAGCAGAGATGGCAAACCCACATCCAAAATGTGTCTATTCCAGTGAGGATGAATCTCTGTTGTTTGGATAGTTTTATTCTGTTGGCATAAAAAACAATAGGCACACACATTAATGAATAGGTTATCCTGAAATAGGCTAATGAGTTATTCTTTTTGATAATAGCATGATTCGTTTTGAAACAGTAGAATTTTACAAAAGTGAGAAAGAGAATATGAACATTTTAATGCTAGGATTTTAAAGTGATTCTGTCTTCTTAAGAAGAAAATGTTTCCTTCTTGAAGGTAGAACTATCACCACAACCATCCTAAAGAGACAGACACCAAAAGGAAAAGAGACTGTTCAAAAGGAAAAGCTGCAAGTACTCCCACTTAATAACGAATACATGTACATACAGCACTACATATACAGGAACTGCATGGAGTGTTTCTGATGCATTCAGTAGCCCTCATATTCATCATAGGAGGCAGAAACTCTTATTATTCACATTTTATACATATCAAAACAGAGTCACATAATACAGAAGTCATTCGCCCAAAGTCACACAGCTTGTATGTGGTAGACTTGATATTGGATAGTTCCAGTGTCCAGGCTCTTCATTACTAATGATTCTGCCTTTCATAGTTAAGTTTTATCTTAGTAGGCACTAATTATTTCTAACATTTCACATGAGCTCCTCAAACAAAGCAGTTTAATGGAAAGTGCCTGTTAGGCAAATAAGATACAACCAAATACAAAATTTAACCAACACCTGAGGGAAAACCCACAGTGTAGGTCTAAGGGTGAACTAGTGATGGTATTGCATTCCGAAAGATTGCCACCTGCTTCTGTCTGATGTTATTCCCCACCACGCCCCCAAGATGGAGGCTCACTCTGTCATCCAGGCTGGAGTACAGTAGCATAATCTCAGCTCACTGCAACCTCCACCTCCTGGGTTCAAGTGATTCTTCTGCCTCAGCCTCCCAAGTAGCTGGGATTACATGCACCCACCACCACACATGGCTAATTTTTGTATTTTTAGTAGAGACGGGGTTTTGCCATGTTTGCCAGGCTGGTCTTGAATTCCTGACCTTAGGTGATCTTCCACCTGGGCCTCCCAAAGTGCTGGGATTACAGGAATGAGCCACCTCACCCAGCCTCTGTCTGATGATATTCTGCTTCGACTTTTCTTCCCCTCTCCTTAGAAAATCCCACAGAATGTAGGCACTGCTGTTGAGTTTGTGAATTTCTCTTTTTCCTAAGCCAGGAAGCTGTTTTCTCTTTCTATCTTTTGTTTTTCATCTGCCAGTTTCCTTTTACTCTTTAAATTGCTGCTTTATTTGCATCTGAGCTGTGTTCCCCTTTGCCAGGCTTTCCTTACCCCACAACCCATGCATCTAATAAATGTGTCTCAGGGTCCCTCCTGCCTTCTTCCTCCTTTTATGTTTCATAAGCTTCTTCAGTCCCTCAGAAGGAAGAACATAAACTGACAGATTAGTGTGATTACCTTTAACTCTGTGAGTGGACTTGACAGTCAAAACCAAAACCTGATCTCAAGAAAAAACTATTTTTAAAGTTATAAATGGGAAAAAACGTTTATATCACTGCCAGGTTTGTGCAGATGTCAGTAGCCGAGAGTGGAAATTCTGGGTCTAACTGTAGCAAGCTTCTTATTTCACCAGTAATCCATTCCTCAGATTTGAACATTAAATAGTCAGAGAAGGAACTTTTGTGTTTCTCCCTAAGTCAGAGAATTGTAGCTGGCAGGAGGTAATATAAACTTTAGACAGCTATGGCACAGTAAGGAGTTCTGTAGGTCTCAAGACCCCTGCAGTTGTAGAAACATGGTTGGTGTAAAGTACAGTTCTAGGCCAGGCACAGTGGCTCACACCTGTAATCCCAGCACTTTGGGAGGCTGAGGCAGGCAGATCACTTGATGTCAGAAGGGGGAGACCAGCCTGGCCAACATGGTGAAACCCTGTCTCTACTAAAAAATACAGAAATTAGCCAAGCCTGGTGGTGTGTGCCTGTAATCACAGCTACTTGGGAGGCTGAGGAATGAGAATCGCTTGAACCTGGGAGGCAGAGGTGGCAGTGAGCTGAGATCACACCACTGCACTCCAGCCTGGATGACAGACTGAGACTCTGCCTCTCTGCCTCAAAAAAAAAAAAAAAGGAAAGAAAGAAATTAAATATAATTATGCAGTTAAGCACTTAACCAAGTGCCTGGTATACATTCTAACACCTTAATAATTGCAGGCCAGTCTTGTAGGCTGAAATGAGACAAAGAAAAGTAAAGCTAAAGAAGTAGGAGCACCAGCCACTGGGAGATAAAACTTAAGCAGTTTTGGTGGGGATGTGGTGGCTCACACCTGTAATCTAAGGACTTTGAGAGGCCGAGGCAGGTGGATCACTTGAGGTCAAGAGTTCAAGACCAGCATGGTGAAACCTGGCTCTACCAAAAACATAAAAAATTAGACAGGGTGGTTGCACATACCTGTAATCCCAGCTACTCTGGAGGCCACGGCAGGAGAATTGCTTGAACCCGGGAGGCAGAGGTTTCAGTGAGCTGAGTCAAACCACTGCACTCCAGCCCTGGGCAACAGCAAGACTCCATGTCAAAAAAAAAAAAAAGTTCTGTTGCTGTTGTTTGTATGAACTGCACAAGTACACAAGTATAAAGTGAAGCAACCCTGGAAAGTCATCCACATGCATGGACTCTGCCCTGACTGATCGGACACTAATAAGGGCCTTGGTTCTGAGTCAGTTGCCACCTGGGTTCATGGAGGACGTGTGGGCATGCTGAAGGAGCTGCGTGCTTTTGTCTCCAATCTCCCAGATGGGAACCTACAGAGGACGGAGAGCTCCCACTGTTAGGTTTTGTGGGCAGGGCTGGATTTCCAAAGAAAAATCCATTTTGGAACTGGTGGAAATGTGACAGAATTGAGAACAGTGCCTGAAATCACTATTTGTGTGTACATGAGACACTAATGTCTTAGGGATGATTTGCTTGTTGAGAAAGAAAAGAAAAGGAAAATATCAGAGAGAAAAGAAAAATAAAAACTACATGCATAAACAGTACTATAAGAAGAAGAGGAAAAAGAGTGGAGACACCTGACAAACATTACCTCAGCCAGGTGATCCAGGTCAACATCAACAGTGATAGGTCAGGTTGATACCTATCACATACACCTCATGTGATGTAATAGCAATAGCACTTTACCTCTGTGGTCTTCCTCCCCGAGACCCCGAACCCAGTCTAACCATGAGAAAAAAACAACCAAATTCCAACTGAGAGACATTCTACAATATGCCCAACCAGTACTGCTCAAAACTGCCAAGATCATCAAAAACCGGTAAAGTCTGGGAAACTGTCACAGCCAAGAGGAGCTTAAGGAGACATGACAACTAAGTGTAATGTGGGGTCCTGAACAGGATTCTGGAATAAAAAAAGTACACTAGGTCAAAACTAAGATGATATGGGCAAGGTGTGGTGGCTCAAGCCTGTAATCCCAACACTTTGGGAGGCTGAGGCAGGAGGATCACTTGAGGTCAGGAGTTCAAGACCAGCCTGGGCAACATGGTGAAGCCCTGTCTCTACTAAAAATACAAAAATTAGCTGGGTGAGGGGGTGGGCACCTGTAATCCCAGCAACTCAGGAGGCTGAGGCAGAAGAATCACTTGAACCTGGGAGGCAGAAGTTGCAGTGAGCCGAAATTGTGCCATTGCACTCCAGTCTGGGCAACAGAGGGAGACTTGGTCTCGAAAAAAAAAAAAAAAAAGATAATATGAATAAAATATGGACTTTAATAACAAAAAAAATCCTATGCACACTTTTTTTTGAGGCAGAGTCGTGCTCTGTAGCTAGGCTAGAGTGCAGTGGTACAATCATGGCTTACTGCAACCTCCACCTCCCGGGTTCAAGCAATTCTCCCACCTCAGCCTCCCAAGTAGCTGGGATTACAGGCGTATGCCACCATGCCCAGCTAATTTTTATATTTTTAGTAAAGACAAGGTTTCACCATGTTGGCCAGACTGGTCTCAAACTCCTGACCTCAAGTGATCTGCCTACTTCAGCTTCCCAAAGTACTGGGATTATAGGCATGAACCATTACGCCTAGCCCTAAGCACACTTCAACTGCACCATCAACATTATACAGTGTCAGGTCTCCATATGCAAGCCTGGAGCCTGAGTGTCTGAAGTCCTGCCTGCCTCAGCTGATGTCTCCCACCCCGTGGGAGTTCACCATTATCCCTGATCACCCAGCGGAGCTTCCCTGGACAAGCCCCTCACCCAACCCTGCCATCTTAACTGTTCTCATGATCATGTGAATATCTCTCACCCACCCTGCCATCTTAACTGATCTTGTGCCTCACCCCCACCTGCCATTATAACTGAACTGATAGTCATGTATACTCTTTGCCCCTACCCCCACCACTGTAACTGATCTTACTCTGCAACACCCCACCCCCCAAAAAAACTGCCCCAACCTATAAAGCCAATTCCCACCTTACCCCCTTCGCCTGCCCTTTCTCAGATTCGACCCACTTGCACCCAAGCAAGAAATAAAACCGCTGCCCTCCTTGAGGGCCCTCCTCCCCTTCCCCCCCCTCTGCCCTCCTCCCTGTAAAAAAAAAAAAGAAAAAAAAAGAAAAAGAAACGAAATAAACCTGCCTTGTTGTCCACACAAAGCCTGCTTGGAAGATCTCTTTATTAAGTGCATTTAATCTTCGCTACTATTGGACACGAATAACATACAGTTACAAAACAAATAACCCATTTAAATAGGGAGCAGGCCAAGTTGAAAATCAACTCAAATTATCAATTCTCATCATTGTAAGGGTTTTCTTTTTTAAGTTTGGTTTCACCTCTACCTCCAAACAGATGGGCTTTTCCTTAAAGGAAGTTGACTGACTTAGTAATTTTTTTTTTTTCCAGACTTAACACATTGCCCTGTCCCTGGGGAGTAATATTATTGTGACAAAACATCCTAGTTTTGGGTCAAAGTATTTTTCCATTTTCAGTGAATTGATCATTTGGCAAACCGATTCTTTTCAGAGCTGGCTTTTAGCACATTGGCTCTTGGCAATTTGCTTTTCAGAAAATTGACTCTGTCTTTGAAAAATGTGAATCTGAAATTTCTCCAAAAGCCCCTTGCTTGCTTCACCAAACTCTGCTTGTGGAATGGTCCACCACTTCCAAGTAATCTGGGTACTGTGCCTGGTCACTTACAGCAGTGCCTGGCATATTGCCGTGCTCTAAAACTGCTCAGGGTAGTTGTTAGAGCTCCTCTCCATCTCTTGGCATAAGACCTCATAAAAAGAAATGCTGTGGGGGGAACCCCACAAGTGCCATGGCAAGGGTCTGAAGCCTCAGCCTGTTCCCATATATTGATTTAAAAAAGAATTAGAGGCTGGGCGTGGTGGCTCACACTTGTAATCCAAGCACTTTGGAGGCCAAGGCGGGTGGATCACCTGAGGTTGGGAGTTCAAGACCAGCCTGACCAACATGGTGAAACCCTGTCTTAAAAAAAAAAGAATTAGAAATAGAAGCACATACTTATTCCTTTATATAATTCTATACAATCTTATAGTTACTTATAATCATAAAGATACATACTCAATATAACCTTTAACTTTACTAATGATTATCAGTAATGAAGCATGGAACTGAGGGGGCATGACAGGCATGCTGGAGGGCGCCTCAGCTGTGAGAGAGCACCAGCGTTGGGAAAGCACCCACTCTTTAGCCAGCTAGGGAAGGAGATGTCCAAAATGGCCAAGATGTCTCCTTCCTCAGGGGAGTTAGGAGAAAACTCCGCTCCCCCAAGCTCTTGTGGTAAGCCTGATGGCTATCAGGGAGGCCCATAGACATCAGGGACCTTAACTGTCTCTATGTGATGCTGTGCTTCAGCGGTCACGTTCCCTGTCCACTCTCATGCTCTGCCTCTGCATCTGGTTTCTCTTTTTCTTAGAAGATAAGAATTAATAATAGTAACATAATCTTAATGTCCTTGATATTTCTGACAAATACGTGAAAAGTGCTGATGCATTAGGTTTTCTCCTCATCTCAGCTACTTGAAAGTCCTGGGACCCCTATCTCCAAGACACGTGATTTACCTGATCCTATCACTGACCACCATGACCTCACCCTACCTTCCCTGCCCCCTGCTTTGTACTCAATAAAAGTCAGAGTGTCCAGGCACTCGGGGCCACTGCTGGACCCTGCACTTTGGTTGGCAGTGGACCCCCAGGCACAAACTCTGTTTTTTTCTTTCTTGGTGTCTTGTGTCTTTTATTTCCACAGTTTCTCATCTCCACACCAGCAGAGAGGGTCTCACAGAACTCTGCAGGGCTGGACCCTAGAAAATGGACTGTATCAAAGTGGAGTGAACTATGAACTCCTTGCCATTTTTCATATTATGAAATATTTTTTCACATTATAAAATATAATGAACTCCTCACCATATTCCAGTGCGGGCTCCAAGTGAGAGCCTCAACACTTACCCTGGGGCTTCTGAAACCCAAGTACCCCAGGAATAACAGATCAGAGGCAGGGGGATGGAATAATTGACGCTTCCATAAATTCCCTCAATACCTTAGGGATTTCTGCTCATCAGTAACTTCCCTTTCAGTCATGATATCCAGGGAACATGAAAGGGTAATGAGAATCACCACCACCACCACCAGATGATGGGAGCAACTTTTGAGTGCTCCTTTTGAGGCAGGCACTGTAACAAATGATTCATGTAATTTATTCTCATTCGATTCTTACAACAGTCCTCTAGAGTTGACACACGAGGAAACAAACTTAGAGCAATAAAACAACTGCAAAGGTCATCTAGCTGATAAGAGGAAGAGTCAGGCTTTGAAACCAGGTGCTTCCAGCCCTAAAGCCCGCATTCTTTCTTCACCAATCAGCAAACTGCCTTCCTTACTTATCCACGTAAATGATATATACATGAGAAGAGCTCAGCTAAATTAAAAGTAGATTATTTTACAAGGGAAAAAAAATGGAAAAGGAAGAGCATTCAGGAATGGTTTCCAATGTGAATACATCTCCACTTCTCCCACTCTCTTCCCACCATGCAGCTTCTCTGTGCATTTCTTAAGGTGTGTGGATGTGTACACATTCCATAGTTTTGTTGTTGATTTGTTGATATGGTTGATAACAACGGGGAATTAAGAAGGAGATGGAGAACAAGTGGTCAGGGCCTCTGGGCTGGACACCTCTCATCTACGTTATACTGACCTTGGAGCCCAGAATCCCGTTCATCTAACAACTCGTCCCCTTCCTCTTTCTCCAGAATGTCCATGAGGGTGAGGTCTGTCATGTAGTACTGGCATCCAAAGAAACTTTCCTTCTCCCGTACCAAACAGAAGCAGTGTAATATACCACCATCAGTGAGGCTTCTAACAGTAATCATACCCCCTCCAGCATCCATTTTCTGAACTACAACTCTTGGGATTTCCTCAAATGTGCTGACCATTGTGCCTGGACCAACTGGGAAATAGAAGTCAATTTCAGTTTTGGGGAGGAGGGTATTGGTTCAAGTATTTAAACCTTCCACGTTTGGCAGCCTGAGGTCAAGGAAGAGCCGAAGTTTCCAGGACAATCAGGACCTGGAATGATTTCCCTGCCCTACTTCTAGAAGGTGAGGCAGCCATGACTCAGTAAAGAGGGGTAAACATCACAGATCCCAGATTCTCCTCTGCCACTCATGGAACCCGTCTGAGGAAAAAAGTGGTAGCTATTACCCCAAATAGGGAAAGTGAGACCCATTTTCTACATCTCCCACAGTAGAGTTGTCCCCTTGTTACAAAGGGCAGACCCACCATGCCCCAGCCAGACCCACCCAAATGTTGATGAACAGAGGAACCAGGGAGAGACGACGGGCATGGCTGCCAGACTTCACATTACTAACCTCAACTGATCGTCTTCCCTTGGCTCTGATTTTTGGGCTCTCTGCCTTGCTGTATTCTGCAAGGCAGTTGGATGGGTGCCTCCCTACCAACCATTTATGAAGTGGTGGTAAGTCAGCCTCAGAAGCAACAAAAGCTTCCTGGGATCCACTTCCCCATCCTGCCTGTTACCCTACATCCCTTCTGCCTGACCGAGGCACTTACCTACTCACGATTCCCTTCTCTTGTCTCTGCCCCCATCATGGTGGTTGATCCTCAATTCATTACCAACCTGGGAATTTAAGGTGTCTAGAAAGGGTGCCCATCTCAGGTGCTACCCACCTCCTCTCTGACCTCAGCTGTTCACCAGAAATGGAAGGTATGAGGATCCCCTCTGCAGATCTCTGCACAGTTCCGGCCTCTGAATCTCAGCAAGCTAAAATAATGAAATTGAAACTTGTCCAGATACAAGGACAGGTGAGTAGGGCTGGGTGCCCCACTTCCCAAGCCTTTAGATAAGCCACCTTATAACTGATCTGGAGGCAGGTAAGGCCAGAACTCCTTCTTCTTCTTGGACCCAAGGAGTGGGTAGGAAATCCTGATATGTATTCTAGGTGAGTTTGGGCCAGACAGTGGTACACACTACGGCACGCTAGGCCATGCAATCCAGTGTATTTGGAATAGAGAAATGGAATATGGGTGGGTATCAAGTGCCAGCAGGCAATGGCTATGGCTGTACCCAGGACATGTGGACAGTAACCCAGCAGAACCAGCTGCCCAAATGCCATGCTGTGGTCCACAGTGAAGACCCAGGACAACAGCAGCTAACACCTGGAAAGAACAGGGTGGGCCTGTAAGGAGCACTCAGTCTCCCTCCCCATCTGGTGCTCCCATGTACACACGCTGGTCTTCCTTATCTGGATGCCACCCACCTTCTCCACCTACTTCCTTCTCCAGGGAGACAGGCCTCTGGCCTCACCCATGTCCCCTCTCAGAGATAACCACCCGGGTGAGCCCAGTCTGTCTTCCAGCCTTTGCGTGCCTCAGTTCTGAAAGAACATTTAAAGAGATGACAGAGGCCAGGCACAGTGGCTCTGCTTATAATCCCAGCACTTTGGGAGGCCGAGGTGGGCAGATCACTTGAGGCCAGAAGTTTAAGACCAGCCTGGCCAACATGGCGAAACCCCATCTCTACACACACACACAAAATTAGCCAGATGTGGCGGCGCACACCTGTAATCCCAGCTCTTAGGAGGCTGAGGCAGGAGAATCGCTTGAACCTGGGAGGTGGAGGTTGCTGTGAGCCAAGAGCGCACCACTGCACTCCAGCCTGGGCGACCATAAACAAACAAATAAATAATATATAAATAAATAGACAACAGTGGTAGTGGCAACAATTACAATAATAATAATATGGCTACCATACATTATTTACTATATGCCAGGCACTGTGCTAACGCTCACAACGGCCCTAAGAGGCATTATCCTTACACATCAGCGGAAGCAACTGAAGCTCAGAAAAGTTGACAAAGCAACATGGCTAATAAGTGGCAGAGCTGGGGGATCTGAACCCAGATCATTGCGGATGTTCCCCAATATCTCACCCCTGACTGTACTCTTGCAGGCTGGTGAAAGCAACCAGGGCACCCCTACTCCCAGGAGAGCAGCAGCCACATCTCTCTTCCCAGTACTGTGTGGGCCCTACTCAGAGAGGGGTGGTGGCTGGACTTGGGCACATATCCCACACTCTTCCTGACACTCACTCCAAGGGTGCTGTGATGCTAGAGCAGGGCCAGAGATGGGGCAGCTCCTCTATTCTACCTGGGACTTTGTGCCTGTCCTGAGAATAGCAGCTGATACTGCCCACAACACGCTAGACGGTCAGTGCCCTTGGGAGAGAAGGATTCCTTGTTATAAGACTCCTCCTCTCCCTCTTAGCCGTGTTGGCCTTGGAAAGTCCCCAGGGGTTACCTCTTCTTCCCCTGTCACTCAGGCTTATGGTGGGAGGAGGAAGCATGAAAACTCCCTACACTGAAAGGTCAGAAGGAAATGCAGCACTCCCAGGGGAGACATAACTGGGGAAAGGCCTAGGAGAGAGAAGTGAGAAACTGGAGAAGGGTTGAGGGACTCATCGGGAAGGTGTGGGCACCGCTTGGGACCCTGACTCCATGTGTAAATCACTGCTGGATTGCCCCCTCCCTGGCCATGGCAGAGGTCACCCCAGCCTGTGGAGCCAAGGTACAAGACCTGTCAGAGAATTTTGCTCTCTGACCACTGCTGCCACTGTCAGTTCCCTGGTAGCCCCCTTGGGGGATTTCCCTGCTGAAGGCAGCACAAAGTCCAGCAGTCTCGGAGCTGCACTGATGTCCCACCAGTGCCTCAGCAGGAGCTCTGCCCACACCCCTGCCCCCTCCCCTCAGCCTTCCAGGAAGCAGAGGCCAGACACAGGGAAATAGGAACACGTTGTCCTTTTATTTGTGTTTCTCAGAATACTGTACAAAGGGAGTAAAAATCCTATTCACACATTGCTTAGAAAGATTTTAAGGTGAAAGTTCCCTATGATACATGGGGTCAGAGATGCAGGGCCAGGAGGTGGAAAACAGGGCCAGTGACCTCTCCTGCTCCCCCAGGCCCCTGGAAGAGGATACAGGTACCCACACCTTTTCAGAATTAACACTGCCCTTAGTCCGCCAGGGGAAAGGAGAAGGCTCCAGCCCAGGCTCAGGCTCCCAGCCTCACTTTCTTCTCTGCAGGCTGAGACCGTGCCTACAGGCCACACTCCTTCCCCTGTGCTGCTTGACCAAAGGTCCTACAGGACTCTCACCACTGATCCCATGTGGGGTGGCCTCACAGCACCACATGTGCCTGCCTACACGAAGAGGCCCTGCCCAGTGCCAGCCTACACGAGGGGGTTAAGGGGTGAGGGCCTGCAGAGGACCACAGCAGCCATCGTTTGTCACAGCTTCCCTGTACCCTGCAGAAGTCAGGGCCAAGTTGGACCTGTACTAACAAAGACTCACGGGCCTGTTCCCCACCTGTCCACCCAACAGCCAACTCAGGAGTTAAGTCCACAGCAGCCTCCTTCCCCTATTACCATTACATTCTGTGGGTAAACTAACCCTCCAAGCCTGCTTCCCTCCCTGCCCACATCCCAAGAAGACTGGGTCTGGCTTCTTTCCCCATCCCCCCTCCCTTACATCAGTGCTCTGCTGCTCCGTGGCCCCATTCTTCTAAGTCTCCACTCCCTATCCCCTCTGCAGCTTCCCAACCTCTACCACATCAGGATGGCAGCAGCCCTGGCCCCCTCACCTCTGGGACCAAGCCATCCACACTCCACCCCATCTTCCCCCACCTGACCCTCCCCACTCCCAACCAGGACCCAGGGTGGGTTGCAGGCAAGCTGCTGAAAGCCCAAGACTCGGATTAGACAGCTCTCTGCCCAGAAGGGCAAGGCCCCATCCCACGCTTGCTTTCACACACACAAGCACACACTGCGTGTCATCAAAAAGACCTCAGAATTACAGTGAAAACAATCCAGAAGCCATACCGCCCTCTGCTCCCTACGCAGGGGTTAAAGTGCTTTGGCTGCCTGAAACAAGTGAGCAGGGGTTTCCCCCACCCCACCCCACCTCCTGTCCCAATGCATGTTCCATGTTCAGCCCAGGAGCCCAGCTGATTCCATGACCACCCCCATGGAGTCTCTATTCAAAAAGCAAAAGGAAAAGATCAAAAAATTCAGAAAAGGTCAGAGCCCAAGGGGGCCCACCCCAACCCCACTACAAGCTACTCCAAGTTGGCTACTGGGGGAAGCGAGGGGGGAAACTAGGCCCAGAGGCTCAACCCCCACCTCGGCAGTGTCCAGAGGCTTCTTCTTTCTGTCTTCAGAGTCGCAGCACAGGCCTTTTCCCCTACCCCTCCCCTGTCACCCTGGGCAGAGGAAGGGGCTGCACCCTCAGTACTTATTGATTCCAAAAATCCGGACTCCGTGGAGCTGGGGCAGCTTGGGGATGAGCACGCTCATCAGGGACACGGTGTTGAGGATGAAATGGATCTGATCGTACTTGGTGTAGAAGCTGGTGAGGAAGTACCTGGGAGGGGAAGGGTGGGGAGAGATAAAAAAGACTGTTGGTCCAGGTGTGGTGGCTCAAGCCTGTAATCCCAGAACTTTGGGAGGCCGAGGCCGGTGGATCACTTGAGGTCAGGAGTTCGAAACCAGCCTGTCCAACATGGCGAAACCCTGCCTCTACTTAAAACACAAAATTAGCCAGGCATGGTGGTGCATGCCTATAATCCCAGCTATTCGGGAGGCTGAGGCAGGAGAATTGCTTGAACCCGGGAGGCAGAGGTTGTGGTGAGCCAAGATCGTGCCACTGCACTCCAGCCTGGGCAACAAGAGCAAAACTCCATCTCAAAAAAAAAAAGACTGTTGGGAGGACCCCCTCCTCCATTACTTCCTGGGTTCGAGAAGGCAGAATCCTGACAGCCAAAGAGTTACAGAAGAGGTCTCCAGGCCAGAGTAAGAAGCAAGAGATCTCAGGCTAAAGAGGCCCCTCCTGGACCAGTGCCATCCTCCCTCCCAACTTCACCCCAAGCCTGTGGGCCTATCTCACTAGCAGGAAGGAGGCTCTAATGGAGGAAATACGGGGCCAGGGAGCCCAAAGCCTGAGCCCAGTGTAAGACCTAGGAATACTCCAACTTCCCCTGTTCGTCCCAACCCCAGGAGCCAGAGCAGGCCTAATAAGCATGGCTGGGCCCCAGGGTCCTCCAGGCCTTGCCCTGCCTGCTGGTGTCTTCCTCGAGCCCAGGCACTCACAGCACGATGGGTGTGATGGTCAAGAACTTCCGAGAGGCCGTGAACTGGACCCCATAGTCCATCTGCTCCCAGTGGGTTAGCAACCTCGCCTTGCCCTGGTCCGGGGTCTCAAAGGGCGTCCCCTTCACCGTGTGCAGGAAGATATACATGCCCTGGAGGAAGACGTCTTTGTTGGAGGCTATAAAAGGCAAAAGGCCCTCCAGCCCAGCTCCTACACCCAGTCACAGACAGAAGTAACTCTCAGTGATCTGGGGCCTCCCTGTGCTGGGTAGGGGGATATGGGCTGGAGGTCAGGATGGAGCAGCCAGGAGCCTGGCAGGAGAAGAACAAGGGGACCCCAGGGGACAGGCTAGGCTTGGCATGAGAATGCATGGGGGGAGCTGGCCACAAGACAGGCACAGAGATGCTGCCCCTCCAGGCCACTCATAACCTCCCTGTGCCAGCTGGGAAGAGGCACGCTGGTGGGACTAACCCCTGCTTACCAGCCAAAGAGTGCAAGGTAGCAAGTGGTGACGGAGCAGAGAAGGGCAAGAGTGGAAGACGGCTTGAAAGGGCATTTCTGCACCAGCCTAGGCACCAGGACTCCCGGGTCCTGGGAACTCTCTGGAGCCCTTTGTTCAGCTCTCAGGGATGCATCTTCCAGGCCCACAGCCACCCCACCCTGGCGATGTGGACAAACCTGCAGATTTGATTCCTATCATCGTGCACAGAGCAAGAACCCAGAACGGGGAGCAAGGCAGAGAGATAAGGGCTGGGCCTCGGCCCTGAAGCAGATGTTGTCAGTATGTCACCCTGACATCTGGGCCAGGCCCAGCAGGCTCCTCCTATCCCTCACCCCTGCCAAACAGCAGCCAACAGGGCAGAGGCAGGCAGCAGGCCGGCTCTCACCATGTTGTGGATGAGGTTGGTGAGAGTCCAGACGACAGGGACACTCACGAAGGGGATGCTCAGCAGCACGACGTGGAGGAGCCCGATGGCCAGCACGTAAGAGAGCCAGATGCCACGGCTGTTCATCACCCGTGTGTTGGGGTTCACCTCGCTGTGTGCTGTGCCCACATTCATCCTGCCGCCCCTCTCCTCTGTTCTGCAAACAAGCAGCACAGGTCAGACAGGTCACACGGCTTTCCCTGCCCCCCCCTCACACTCGGATCCGGATCCGCTGGAAGGCAGGTCCTTCTTTCCCTGAGAACTCCAGGGAGTTCCACTCTTGATTCTCAAGCATGGAAGGTAGAAAAAATCCACATGGACTTAGCTCTATTCATTTCCTGCTGCTGGGCTGGGATAAACCCCAGGCTGCCCCATGCATCACCCCACTGGGACAGGGTCCTGGCAGGGCTTTGGAGGACAGGTCATCAGAGGCATGCAGCCCCAGAGTAGAGAAGTCAAGGCCCATCCCCCAGCCTCACCCCTTATAGCATTCCCATGAGGGCTCTCTGCTGACAAAGGCCCCAGGAGAGAGTTCTCACTCAGCATGACCCCTGCTGGACTTGCTCTCTGATTTGGGATGTCTCCTCTGAAGCCCTTCCCATCAGGAGGGAAAAGAAGTGGGGTCTGTGGGTACAGGCAGCAGTGGATGAACTATTTTGAGGTCACTGCTTCCGCTCACCTCCTCTAGTTTTTTCAATTCTGGATCTCCCCAAACCCTAACTTAGGAGGACTGATTCGGTAGAAAAAGGGAGCGGTGGGGGGAGAAGAAATGAGAAAACAACAGACTAGGGACAACCTCTGCCCAGATCTGGAAGGCGCCCCTTCTGGGTGACACAAAACAACCCATCCAGATGTTTTTTCCATTTGGCAGCCACTCAGGCCAGCTCTTGTGATGCCACCCACTCTGCTGCCAAACCACCAGGGCCCTTTTCCCCACAAGAGGGGTGAGGACAGAGAACGTGGCCAACACCTAGAGCTCCCATGGAGAGCTGGAACCTGCAACAATATATGCCTCCCAAGGGCACAGACCCGAACCTGTGGCCTCCCTCCTGTCCCCCTTCCTCTCTGTCCTGCCCATCCTCACCTCAGTTTCCCTCAGCACCTGTTTCCAGGTGTACCTTAGCCCATGCCTTCCCCTGCCCAGCACCAACAGTAGGAGACCTGTGGCAGGAGGAACCAGGAGGCAGCCACAACCCACAGTGAGCAGGGGAAGTAGAGAAGGAAGGGAGGGGAATGATCTGCCCCTTGTCCAGAGCTTGGCTGTCCCCAGATCCCTGAGGGGCCTGTGATCAGGAGAAGGTGGGGACAGATGGCGCCTGTGTACTGGCTCACCTCCCATCTGAGGTAGGGTCCTGCCTGCTAAAGACCATAAGGTCATCACCATGGTAACAGCTCCATCTTTCCTAGTCCCAGATGGAGATATTCTAGAAGTACCCAGAAAGCCACCTCCCTCACACCCCTGCGGTGACACCTCAGTCCCAGATGCCATCTATCTCTGATAGGATCCTAGCCAAACCTGCACAGAAGCCTGAATCCTCAGGGGTCAGTTCTTTACTTCCAGGATAACAGGAGCAAGTGTCCTCTTCTCAGACAGCTCCATACTTAGAGATCTCAGGGAAACCATGACCCACAACACACCATCCCAACAAGCAAACACCCCTGCGCTGGCCTGGGGTGCGCTCTGGGTAAAGTGACACTCCTGGGACCCATCAGCGCAGCCCATTAGGCTGGGTAATTGAGTCACACAGAAATCCAAGTATCTAAAAAGCCAGAGCTAGCCCTGACTGTTTACCTTCCCAGGGCTTCGGGGCTTCAGTTACTCTAGCAGCCCCTGGGACAGCTACTACACAAAAGCCTCCACCTTAGAGGGGAGGGCAACATGTAGCTGAGAAGTGAGGGATCTGAAGGAATTACCTCTGATTAAGGAGAGGGAGAGTTTCCCAAGTCTGACCTGGGAAACTGCCACCCCATCACCTCTCTGTTACCCACCCCTACGGGTTGTTGGTGTAGAAAGCCCACTAACCCTTCCTAGTATTTGTGCTGGAGTGCCAAAAGCCTTGTGGAATCCCAGATCACAAGACTCCATACCCCTTTCCGGCTTTCACAGGGCAGCCAACAAAACTTGACAAACCTAGGAAAAGCCCAGACTTAGATCCTAGCCGATACCCTCAGATGCTTCTTCCTGAAGCCTAAACACTAGGTGCCATGAGAGCAGAAAACCACCAGAGACCTCTAAAAAAAGGGATCAATAAACTAAGACAAGAACCGGCAGCCAAAAAACACTGGAGACTTTCGTGTGACTATGGGCACACATCACTTCCATTAGTAAAACAACCAACTGACCCCACTCTAGATGAGGAGAAACAGAGAGAAGAGGCTGGCAGCGGTCTACAGCAGCTAAGCTGAAAAGTTCTGCTGCCATAGCTGGCAGGTGGCTGCTAGTGCCAGGCCCTGATGTGGTTTCATAACCTGCCTCAAACCAGAGCCTGCAGCAACTCTGTTCTGTTAACCACTTTTTTTGCTGATAGCTCTTTTCCCCTCCTTCCCTCCCCACCCCCTTGGCTCCACAGGCAAATATGCGGGCCCAGCCAGTATGCCAGACTCTCAAGCCAAGGCTGATCGTGCACCAGGCCAGCCACCAGGTGAGCCCTTTTCATTCCCTCCCCCAGAAAAGAGCAGCCCTTACAACAGCAAACCTCCTGTCTTCTGAATGAGGAGCACAAAACATGCAGGACTGGATGGGGACCCCCAATGGGGAATCCGTGGCAGCACATCACAATGCCATTTCCATTCCGCCCACCCCGCAAGCCGCAGGACCACAGCCGATCACCTCTCAACTTTGGCCCAGCCATCCCGACTGGGGGAGGGCGGTGGGAGCGGAAAGCTTGTGCTAAGGCGAACCCGCACTAAGCCGAGAAGAGGAGGAGCAAAGGGGCGGAGTCCTCACTGTTGTTAGGGTTTCCTCAGTAAGACCTCCGGCGGGGGGTCGGGGGGGAGGGGTCCGGCTCTGTTCCCCAGCCTGGGACCTCGCACTCGGAACTCGGTCGAGTCCGGGACCCCACCGTCACCTCCACGGGTTCACCCAGCTCTGTAGGCAGCCAAACCTTTATCCCCGAAGCCCAGCCCCTCCCCGCCTCCCACCCCTAGCCGAAGCACTCCTCGCCGACGTTCCACCACCGGCCTGCGGCTCGTACTTTCTTCCTTGGCCACGTCCCCAGCCGCTGCACCCCCTCGGCTGATGCATTCCCTCTACCCCCACTCACTCTGCCCCGGTCTCTCCAGCCCAGGGCGCCTCCCTAGCAGCCTCCACCTTCTCTCCCGCCCCTCCGCTAGCCCTGGGGCCCTCTGGTTCCGTCTGGGCTCACCGTGCGGGGCAGGAGATCTAGGGCCCGGGAACGGTTCCCGGGAGCGGAGGCCGCTGCTGCTCCAGCAGCTGTAACAACCCGCGGCGGCAGCCTCCCCGTTGGCAGCTCCGGCCAAATCAGAGCTCCGCGCCGGCCCTCGTGACATCACCATCCCGCGCCGGCCCGCCCGATGCCTCCTGGGAGTTGTAGTTTTTCCTGGCTCCTTTCCCGGCCTCTCCGGGGCCGCACTGTTGGAAATTGCACCGTGACGCGACGGATTGCATGATAGAACTTTGGTGCGTAACGATTCCAGCTTTCGCTTCTGTGCCTTTCAAGGGTATTTTACCCTTGCCCCAGTTTTGCAGATGAGGAGACTCGGACTTGTAAGTCACTTGCTGTAAGTCTTTGCTGGGTCGGAGACTGGATCGAAACCCAGATATTCTGACCCCAAGTGCCGGGTTTTTCCACTGCACTTGGCTGCCTCCGCCCTGGCCCCAGATTGGCTCCTCCAGAAACGGACTGGCCCGGCCCTTTGCCCTGCCGGGCCCTCCTGGGAGCGCGCTTTTCACACTGGCCGAGGTGAGGGTCTGGAGGGCCCAGAACGGAGCCTGCCTTCTTCTCAGTCATGCTTGGCCCAGGTTGCCCTGGACGGGGCCACATCTTTGGCCGCCCCGCACCTGACCTCAGAAGAGGCCACGTAATATATAGATTCCTTGATCAATAGTAAGGAGCCTGAGTTTCTGTCTCAGGTCAGCTTGTGTGGTTTTGAATGAAAGGCTCTGGTCTGCAGTTTTCACATCTGCATCCTCTAAAGGCAAGGGCACAGACTTTACTGCCTGGTCGACATAGAGTAGGCCCCCCTTTATTGGCAGTGTGACCCTGGGCAAATTACTCGTCTTAATCTCCAATTTCACACCTGTGAAACCCCACCTCCAAGGTTGTGGGAACCCAAAAGAATGTATGTAAAGCACCTGTTGCATTGTAGGAATCTATTTAATATTACTGTGGGAGGTTGAACTAAATGGCTCTTGAGGTCTCCTGGGTCACTCCCATTCTCCATGTCACCAAGAGGCCTTGTCTGGGTAGCTTCCACTCCCTCCCCAGCTTCTCTCTAAGTCCACTCTATGCAGGGCAGGGCTGGAATAGCAAGATCAGATTATGTCATCATGGCATGCCAGCCCGATTCTGAATGGCAGTTCATGGCACTCTGAAGTGAAACAGGAAGGAAGAGTCTAGCCCAGGAAAACTGGGGAGGGGAGCACTTCACTTGGACTCCACCTACCCTTCCTTCCCCAGGGGGCTACCAGGAAACAGTTGTCACACAGCTGGAGTGGGACCCCCAGAGGCACTTAGTGGTCACCAGGCAGGTGGGTATTTGAACCGCCCAGAGCAGAACAGGCAGCTTCTTGAATATTTCCAGGACCAATGGCCCCAAAAGAGTTCATCTCAAGATCGAAATAATCTCCCGAGTCTGAAATAGCTCTGCCTATGTCCTAAGGAAGTTTTTCTTGGTTCGTGGAGGTGCCTTTCCTTATAGTCATCTTTCTGCAGTCATAAGCAAACCCAGTGTTGTTCTTTTCACGGAAGCCTCCCCAGCATTAAGGCGAGAAAGGTGTGTCTATTTTTTCCAAAGTGAGCCTGCTTGACTTTTTTTATTTTTCTCTGGGATTCTTCATCCTCCATCAGGCTGATCGAGCCCTCTGGATCTTGATCAGTTTCTTGACATCTCTATGAAGTTCAATAACCCAGACTGAAACCACGTCTCCAATAACGTTCTGACTAATGCACAGTCTAACAGAAAGATTACTGGACATGTCATGCACTATTAATAACTCCTTTTATCAAGAATTTTTTTTCACAATAGGAATGAACAGAGTTCTGACTCACTCTAGGTTTGTGGTAAATTACAGATCACTTTCTGCTTTATTTAGCTGGAGTCCCTGTCATCATTTTTCTCCTTCTCTAACTCTTTGCCCTCATAATTACCATGTCTTCCCTAAACATCCTTCAGCTGTGAACAGCCCTAAGCAATATTCAGAGTGAGTGACAGCTCTCTTATTTGGTGCTGGGAGACACACAAACTCTTGGACAAACATTTGTCACTGTGTGCCAAGAAGCTGAAAAATTCTTCATGCCTCAGAACCATAATTACACTTCGGGTAGCATATTCTAAGGAAGTTATCCCATGTACAGGAAAAGCTGCAATGTGTCAGGATGTTCATTCCAGCAATATTTATAGTTAGTGAAAAACTGAAAGCAACCTAAATGCACAAGAAAAAAATTACAGTATCTCTGCTGGACAGAATAGTATGAAGCCATTTAGGACAGATTGTGAAAACCCTGTGGCAGTATGGGGAAATGTTTGCTAAGTTATATGAAAAGATAAGGACACAAAATACCAGAAGACACATTCCCCAGGGATATAGTCAGCAAAATCTAGAATGAAGAAAATTAGGACAAATACCCAATTCCCTTAACAAAATCGGGGCCAGGTATGGTGACCCACACCTGTAATCCCAGCAGTTTGGGAGGCTGAGACAGGCAGATCATGAGGTCAGGATTTCAAGACCAGCCTGGCCAACATGGTGAAACCCTGTCTCTACCAAAAAATACAAAAAAAAATAAGCTGGGTGTAGTGGCCTGCACCTGTACTCCCAGCTACTTGGGCAGCTGAGGCACAAGAATCACTGAACTTGGGAGGCAGAGGTTGCAGTGGGCTGAGATCAGGCCACTGCACTCCAGCCTGGGCAATAGAGTGAGACTCCGTCTCAGGAAAAAGAAAGAAAGAAAAAAAAGGCCAGGTGCAGTGGTGCATGCCTGTAACCCCAGCACTTTGGGGGGCTGAGACAGGCAGATCACCTGAGGTCAGGCGTTCAAGACCAGCCTGGCCAACATGGTGAAACTCCGTCTTTACTAAAACTATAAAAACTATCCAGGTGTGGAAGTAGGCACCTGTAATCCCAGCTACTCAGGAGGCTGAGGCAGGAGAATAGCTTGAACCCGGGAAGCAGAGGTTACACTGAGCCAAGATTGCACTGCTGCACTACAGCCTAGGCGACAGAATGAGGCTCTGTCCCCCCCCCAAAAAAAAGATTTTATCAAATTATCAGGCAAATTTGAATACTGACAAGGTATTCAATGATATTAAGGAATTCTAAATGTTTAGGCATGAAATGGAATTGTGGCAAGTTTTTTTTTTATTTAAAAAGTCCTCTTTTCAGACATATACTAAAATATCTGTGGATGAAATGATACAGTGACTGCATTTGCTTCAAAATAATCTGGGCTGGGAACAATAGGGACATAGTAAGATGGGCCATGAGGTGATAATTACTGAAGCTGTGTGACGAGGACATTAGGTTCCTTATACTAATTTCTCTACTTTATTTTTCCTTTTTTGAGACGGAGTCTCGCTCAGTCGCCCAGATTGGAGTGCAGTGGTGCAATTTCAGCTCACTGCAGCCTCCACCTAACAGGTTCAAGTAATTCTCCTGCCTCAGCCTCCTGAGTAGCTGGGATTATAGGCGCATGCTGGCTAATTTTTTTGAGACGGGGTTTCACCATGTTGGCCAGGCTGGTCTCGAACTCCTCACCTCAAGGGATCTGTTCACCTTGGCCTCCCAAAGTGCTGGGATTACAGGCGTGAGTCACCATGCCCAGCCTATTTTCTCTACTTTTATATGTTTGAAATTGTTCATAATTAAAAGTCTAATCCTGCATGTATGTTAATGATTAAGATAAGCAAAAATAGAGCAGCACCGGTAACATCCTGTGGCACAAGACTGCCAGAGTTCAACTCCCAGCTCCTCTAGTTACCAGCAGTGTAACCTTAAGCAAGTTACTGAACCTCTCTGTGCTTCAGTTACCTCATTGCTAAATGAAATGGCAGATGACACTGGTGTTCAGAAAAAAGAAAGTAAATGAAGATGGCAATGATCATGATAATACCCACCTCATGTTGTGAATATTAAATGGGCCAGGAAATGTGAAATGAAACACTTGAAACAATTCCTGGTACATAATGAAGTGCTCAGTATGTGTTGCCTTTTATGAATTCATTTCACATTTGAATGATATTTGACCATGTACTTTACTAGATTATGGAAATTCAACAAAATAAAAACAGACCTTGGGGCTGGAAACTGTGGCTCAAGCCTGTAATCTCAGCATTTTGGGAGGCTGAGGCGGGAAGGTTGCTTGAGGCCAGGAGTTCAAGACCAGCCTGGGCAACGTAAGGAGACACTCTCCACACACACCGCCATCTCTACAAAAAATAAATTAGCCAGGCATGGTGGTGCATTCCTGTAGTCCTAGCCACTCAGGAGCTAAGGTGGGAGGATCATTTAAGCCCAAGGAGTTCGAGGCTGCAGTGATCTCACTAGTTCATTCCAGCCTGAGCAATAAAGCAAGCCCTGTCTCTTAAAACAACAACAGGCAGGGCGTGATGGCTCACACCTGTAATCCCAGCACTTTGGGAGTCTGAAGCAGGTGGATCATCTGAGGTCAGGAGTTCGAGACCAGCCTGGCCAACATGGTGAAACCCTATCGCTACTAAAAATGCAAAAATTAGCCAGGCACAGTGTCGCACCCCTGTAATCCCAGCTACTATGAAGGCTGAGGTGGGAGAATTGCTTGAACCCAGGAGACAGAGGCTGCAGTGAGCTGAGATCATGCCATTGCACTTCAGCCTAGGCAACAAGAGCAGAACTACATCTAGAAAGAAAGAAAAGAAAAGAAAAGAAAAGAAATAAAAAGAAAGAAAGAAAGAAAGAAAGAAAGAATGAAAGAAAGAAAGAAAGAAAGAGAAAGAAAGAAAGAAAGAAGGAAGGAAGGAAGGAAGGAAGGAAAGAAAGACAACAACAAAAACAATCTTGAATCAGGATAGAGGGATTTGGGGTGATCTTTTTCATTCTCTAGTTTCAAATTTTGCATAATGTGATATTACCTTTAAATGTTTTATGAAAAGTGTTTTAAAACAAAATGAGCCTAG